TCTCTCTCTCTCTCTCTCTCTCTCTCTCTCTCTCTCTCTCTCTCTCTCTTTCTTTCTTTCATCTATTTATTTATTATGTGCTCTGCCTGCGTGTATGCCTGCAGGCCAGAAGAGGGCACCAGATCTTATTGTAGATGGTTGTGAGCCACCATGTGGTTGCTGGGAATTGAACTCTGGACCTCTGGAAGAGCAGCCAGTGCTCTTAACCACTGAGCCATCTCTCCAGCCCCAGCAATCACCTTCTTTTTCGTCTCATACTATTTGCCTTTATCTCCATTTGTTCTTGTAAATTACAGCGTCCTACATTCCTGCATCGGAACCATCTGCTAGTCCTGAGTAGTTTCACAGTGACAGAAAGTGTCCACCACCCCAAACAACACTTTTGTCTTAAAGCTGAGGTCAAGAATACATTGCAATTTATCACTATTTTTAAAAAAGAAACTTTTTTCTTCTTCTTTTTTTCTTTACTTTTTAAAGATTTTTAACCTTTATTTCATATGGGTGAGTGTTTGTCTGCATGAATATCTGCGCCACCTGTGTATGCAGTGCCTAAGGTGGCCAGAAGAGGGCACCAGAATTATAGATGGTTGAGAGCTGCCATGTGGGTGCTGGGAATGGAACCCTGGTCCTCTGGAAGAGCAGGCAGTGACCTTAACCACTAAGCCATCTTTCCAGCCCAATTTATTTATTTTTAGGCCAGGTCTCATGAGGTAGAGACTGGCTGGCTGAAAACTCTCATGCCTCAGTATCCCAAATGTTAGGTTTACAGATGTGTGCCGCCATACGCTACACTTAGCCAGGAGAGGGGGAGGCCTCAGCTAAAGATCTCAAGACAACATCGTTCTAGATCATCGGATGGTTCCCAATTCCATACCAATTATCTTCATAAGAAAATAGTACAGGGGGCCAGCAGATTCTCAAACTGTTAGATTCATAGTCTCCTCTCTCCTCTCTCTCTCTCTCTCTCTCTCTCTCTCTCTCTCTCTCTCTCTCTCTCATTCTCCCTCTCCCCCTCCCCCCTCCTCCCTCTCTTTGATCTGTTACAGATATGATAATCCTTTCCCCTAATACTTCAGCATGTAGCTCCTAAGTGTGTTATCTTCATAACCCCTGGGCTGTTATCAAATTGAGGACGTGCACCATGTGTCCAATTCCATCATGTGACTTAACAGCCCACACTCTATAATTATTTCACCTCTCAACAGGGACTTGCCATCTGTATCCATGGCAGGAAGACTTGACTCAAACAAGTAACAATAGCTGTTCAGTGGGTGTGGGGTTGATGAGAAACGGGGTGTGGCCATCTCCCTACAGATGGCCAATCCACTCCAAAGACGGACACGATGCCTTGTCCAGAAGAGACGGCACTGTGAGTAAGGGGACACGCAGACACCATACATTTCCAGTGCTGAGACAGATACCGCATCCCTGGGACATTCTGAGATGCACAGTCAGAGTCAAGACAGCAGCCAGAAAACTAAAATTGAGACTCCTCCATAATACAGCTGGTCTGGAATATTCCAGAACATCAAGGTCATGAGTTAAAGAAATTCTAAGAAACTGCTCAATATTAAAGGGTACCAAAGAGATCGCTTCTAACCCAGGCTTCTGGCTAACGAGGTAGACACTCACTTCCGTTCCTTCTTGTCGGTCGGCCTGTTGATCTCCCTGAAGATGTTTGACAGCACCCCATCTGTCCAGTCTCGAGTGGTGGGGTCCAGGATGCCGTAGAGCTCAATGACACTTACAGCTTTGGGGTTCAAGATGTACAGCTTCGTCATTAGTCCAAGCCTAAACCAAAAAGGCAGCTTCAGCTATGACTCAGGCCAACAAAGCACTGGAGGCAGACATAGGAGACCCTCGACAGGAAGTACAGATGGGAATCCACTCTAAAGCTGATCTGTGCTTCTATTTTGTAAGGAGCGTCAGAGGCAGGGTCTCATTATGTGGCCCTGGCTAGCCTAGAACTTACTAAGTAGACCAGGCTGGCCTCAAACTGATGGTGATCCTGCCGCCTCTGCCTGCTAGATCACAGGCACGCACCACCACACCTGGCTCTGTGTGCGGCACACTTTGTAAGTCATGTGGACCGGACACGCCCCTCTGTGATGGCAGATCCCCACCACACTGCAACTAATCAACGGAAAACCAAACCTAATACAACCCACGGGTCAGAATTTTAAGACAAATGAATAGTAAATAGTAAACGTGCAATATTATACACATGTGTGTATGGATTTGTGTCCTGGCTGTGAGAATTGTCAGCAGTGGACTACAGAATGGAAGAGAATGACCAAGGCTATGAGTTCCAGTCTTCAGCCTGCCACTGTCCCCGGCCCCTTATATGGGACAGGGAGAAAAAAGAAAGTGGTACCACCCAATGCCAGATATTATTACTTTAGTGTGTGTGTGTGTGTGTGTGTGTGTGTGTGTGTGTGTGTGTGATGTATGTGCATGCACCATATGCACATGTATGTGTGGACACAGGCCAGAGGATGACACGAGGTGTTTGTCCTACTCCATCACTCTTTACCTTATTTCTTTGAGGCAGGGTCTCTCACCGCACCCGGAGCTAGGCTAGTAGCCACAAGCCCCAGCGACCCTCCCATCTCCATTCCCACGACAGCACTGGGGTTCCATGGACCACAGCCATGCCTGCCTTTTACGTGGGCACTGGGGATTTGAACTCAAGCCCTCGTGAGTGTGCAGCAAGTGCTCTTTAACTATGAGGCGGTCCCCCAGACCCAGTCCTGAGATTTTCTGTGCAATCTAGAAATGCCAGAGCCACGCAGGTCACATGGCTCTATTTGGAGTTTGCCTGGAATATTGGTATTCATCCAGGTCTGTCGAGAACCCCGGCAGTCTGTAAGACTGTCCCACCACAGCGAGTCATTAGGATATTCTAGGGGCTTTGTTTAACTCTAATAATTTATGTAATTATTATAGTTCATTTCTTTATTGGGGATCAGAGGACAATTTGTGGGAATTGGCTTTCTCCATCCACCATGTGGGTTCTGGGGTTCAAACTCACGTTGTCAGGCTTGGCTGAAAGCATCTTTACAGGCTCTGCGCCATCTCATTGGCCCTTCCACATCATTTAAGAACTAGTTGGGAACAAACCTAAGCTAAGACCGAGCTCTCATAATTAATAAAAAGCCTCCGTGTCGTTATTTGGGAGCTGGCGGTCTAAAGAAAGACCCATTGCAAGTGCCAGCATTAGTGGCCCTCTGCTTTCTGGTCATCCCAGATATGAGGAGTCTCAGCGCTCTTCTCCTGTCCCCCTGCCTCCAGGAATGCCACAGTTCCCGGCCACGATGGATTTCAGCCTCTCAAACTCTGAACCAAAATAAATCCTCTGTCCCCATCATCTGCTTTTTGTGGGTATTTGATCACATCAATCAGAAAACAACTCGTGACTGAGACAGACACACACGGCCCATGAGATGAAAGCTCTCACCAAACACTTCCTAAGAGGCTGCCCTGACAAATGCCCCCAACCCCAGCAGGACACTCACTTTGTCTGGGCCTGACACAGAGCATTGATGACCACAGACTTGCCCCCTCCTGTGGGCCCTACCACCATTGTGGTGTGGCGGGTCAGCATGGTCTCGAACATTTGGACCACTTTATCCACCTGTGGGACAGACACAGGCAGTTGCGTTAAACATATCTTCTGGAAAAAAAATAACAGTTTAGCAAGATGTAATTCAGGGCTGGTGAGCTGGCTTAGCCAGCAGAGGTGTTTGCCATCAGGCTTGACCACCTGAGCATGGGATAGGAGAGAACCAACTCCTATGTAGCTGAGGCTGGCCCTGAGCAACTGATCTTCCTGTCTCTGCCTCCTGAGTGCTGGAGGTGTGTGCCACTGTGCTAAATACTATTGTATTTCATGACGATGACGACGACGACGAGGCCACATGTATCTGTCCGTCAGCTGACAGACACTGTGGTTTCCACATTTGGGCCACTGTGAATATCCGACTGGGAGCTCATGAGTGTGTTCCTGAGCAGACATGTTCTCACCGCTCTTGGGCACCTGCAGCGGGATCACCAGGCTCTAGGATGCCTCTGGGTGTAGCTTGCCGAAGAGCTGGCGGACTGCTTGCCAGTGCAGTGTGTTATTTTACATTCCTGACAGGAGTGTGTGTGTGTGTGTGTGTGTGTGTGTTTTCAATGGCGGGGGGAGCAATTGTCTTCCTCAACTGAGCTCCATTTTACTTTTTGAGATGGTTTCTCTGAACTTGGGGTTCATTGATGAGGCTAGACTGTCTGGTCAGCAAGTTTCATGCTCTGCCCTACCAGAGCTGGTTTGCCGTGCCGCAGAGCCCAGATTTTTACACCGATTCTAGGTAATTGAACTCAAGTCTGCCTGCTTGTGAGGCAAGCACTCTGCCGACTGCTCCATGAGCCTGGGGCCGGCCCGTGTTACCTAGTGAGTTCCAGGCCCGTGTGAGTTCCAAAGCACCCTGCTCACCTGGACCGGCAGAAGCACGTAGCCATTCTCCTCCAGCACCTGCTCCACTGCATCGTTGAAATCCGGGTAGCGCACACGGGGGCAGTCCAGCCCAGGAAACAGGTCCGAGATGAGGCCCAGGAAGAGGGGGACGTCCTCAAACACAAATTTGGGCAGGTTCATGTCCCGCAGCGCCCGCATCAGGACCACATCCTGGAGGGACCAGAGGATGAGAGATCGCCAGAGAACCCAGCAAGCCCCTGGACACCCTCCTGCCCAGCACAGAGTGGAATGTTCTTATAAAATTTAATGCGTCTAGTCACAAATTTTGTACATCTAACATACATCCGTAATGAGGGCTGGCAGGACGGCTCATCAGATGAAAGGTACCACATTTGATGACATGTGCTTAATCCCTAGGACCTACACGTTGGAAAGAGACAACTCCCTCCCACAAATTATTCTCTGACTCCACACGCACATGGCGCAGACATGCATGCATACACACACTAAATAAACAAATGTAAAAAATATAATATATGCCGGGCGTTGTGGGGCATGTCTTTAGTCCCAGCACTTGTGAGGCAGAGGCAGGTGGATCTACGTGAGTTCTCTAGTCTACAGAGCAAACCAGGGCTATACAAAGAAACCATGTCTCAACTCCCAAAACAATATATAACAAAACATATTCTATGTCATAGATTTATACATATTATATGCTATAGATTTATACATTCTATGTTATAGATTTATATATTTTAAAGAAAATTGGGAGCTGTAATAGGGATTGAACCTAGGCAAATGCCTACTACTGAGGTGAGGTGCATCCCCAGTTAAAATTTTAAAAAATTTAGAACTCTGGCCAGGCGTGGTAGCACACACCTTTAATCTCAGCACTCAGGAATAGAGGCAATGGATTTCTGTGAAGTGGGTGTAAGACTGGTCTTTGCAGCAAATTCAAGGTCAGTCACAGCTGCATAATGAGAACCTGTCTTGAAAATTTTTTTTAATTCAGTATGATTTAATATAGATACAAAATATTATAAAGTATAAGCCAGTTTCATAGAATATTTTTATGAAAATGAAATATGAAAGTTTATATAAAATACCAAAGATATCTCTGGAATTTGCATTTCACTTTTTCCAAAGTTTGATAGAAAATAAAAATCCATAATGAAACCTATAAAAATGGAATGTAAAGCCGGGTGGTGGTGCCCCATGCCTTTAATCCCAGCACTCAGGAGACAGAGGCAGACAGATCTCTGAGTTCAAGGGCGGCCTGGTCTACAGAGTGAGTTCCAGGACAGCCGAGGCTACAAAGAGAAATCTTGTCTTGAAAAAAAAATGGTATATAAAATGTCCATGTTTTATATCAAAACAAAAATTAAATATCCAACATGTACATTATCACTGGTGGAAAACTGTAAGAATGTCGCCCTCAGAATGCCAGCGATGGCTCTGACCGTGGAGTAAATACCACATCAAAGCAATGTGACTGTTTCTCTCACTTTCACCGCGAAGAGGAAGTAAGTGTGTGGGGGGGGGGCGGGGGCGCAGATCTGACCAGGGCCCATGTGTGCACCCGTGAGATATCTCACTGAATCCCATTCAGATGTATGATCAGTGGGCAGAGCAATGGCTCAGTGGTTAAGAGCACTGACTGTTCTTTCAGAGGACCCAGGTTCAGTTCCCAGCACCCACATGGCAGCTCACAACCGTCTGTAACTCCAGGGCCTCCAAGAGGGCCAGACAGGCACGTGGTACACAGACATACGTGCAGACGTAACACCCACACACATAAGATAAATAAATTTAAATTTAAAAACTATGTCATCAGTACTTGCTAACTGAAGAGGAATTCACATTCCCACTTCAACAGAAGGCTATTCGCACCCCTCTGCCTCCCTACCACCTTAAGATGATGGACTGACAGTCGCTCCTGAAGCGCCCTGAATATTGGTACTGCCACGGGGGCTCTGAACTTGATCTTAAGGGAACAAGTCTCCGTAGACAGCATCACTGGGAGGAGGCCAAAGCAAAGCCAGACAGCCGACGGAGGGACAGCTAAGACCCAAGCTTCCGGGTGCCCCGTGTCCGGAACCACACCCCACCACGGGCGCCGAGCAGCCTACCTCTTGCAGGTCTGCGGAGCCTCGCTTCAGCTCGCCGGCCATGACCAGCACAGACTTCAGGGCCCGGAGCCCAAAGTCATAATGATGCTGCTTGGACAACTGCTCCCGGGCCAGCTTATACAGAACCGTCATCTTCTTGGCCAGAGTCTTTGACAGACGACGGCGCGGGAACAAAAAATGTAAGAGAGTAAGTGACAGAAAGCCGCAGGGTATCACTGCAAACAGAAAGGGACAGGCGTGTCTCGGGGACACCGACGACCTACAGGTCTGCAGAGCTGGTCTTCAGCGTTTGAAAAACACCAGGGTGTGGTTTCTTTCCTAATGATGGCACCATGGGAGACTTATTCAAAGAACACCCATGCTAGCTAGCCAGGAGGGGGTGACACACGGGAAGTATGTTCAGACAGGAGGATCAGGCAGTTCAGGGTCATCCTCGGCTACATAGAGAGTTTGAGGCTAGCCTGGACTACATGAGACCCTGTCTGGAACACACAAACATGTTTCCCAAAGTCGGACAGCTGCTGTACAAAGCTGGGATTGTAACTGCTTTCAGTGATGGCAGATCCCAGCAAGCGGTCACAGTCCACTCACACAGATGCTCCCAGCTTACTGTGACCTCAACGTAGCACACGGGTGCTCCCCCACCCCCCCCCCACCCCACCCCACCCCCCGCCCAGCCACTGTTCCTTTTGTTGGTTTGTTTGGTACTGAGGGATGAACCCAAGACCACTGAGCTATGTCCCTAGCCCTTTACTTCATTTTATTTTGAGATTTGAGTTTGGCTTTGAGTTTATAGTCTTCCCACCTCAGTCTCCTAAGAAGCATGGATTAGAGATCAAGATGAGCCACTGTGCCCAGTCTGTTCCACTTTCTGATGACAACTTAGACTCCTGGGCCACATCAGTCAAGCCCACTGGTCCCCAAGCCTTGCATGGGAATTTGTATGAAAACAGACACAAAACCTCATCCTGAAAACCCAGAGTCCTGGCAGCTTGGGGTGGCATGGAGAGAGTGCAATGGAAACCTTGAAGAGCATCCAGTGCAGGGCTAGAGAGATGGCTCAGTGGCTAGAAGCACATACTGCTTTTGTAGAGGGCTCAACCCAGATCTCATGTTGGATGGCTCACAGCCAGCCACCTGTTAGCTACAGTTCCAGGGAATCAGATGCCCTCTTCTGGCCTCTGTGGGAACTGCATCCATATGCATATACACAAACTCATTATTGCAAAATTTAAAAAAATGTTGGGGTATGGCTGGGTGGTGGAGAACATGCCTCAGTTGCATGAGGTGCTGGGTTCCATCTTCAGCATGACACAAAAAAAAGAAAAAGTGTGAGTGTGTGTGTGTGTGTGTGTGTGTGTGTGTGTGTGTGTGTGTGTTGCATGCAAGCATGCAGGTGAATGTCCCCATGGGTGCATGTGCATACAGAGCCAGAGGAAGACTTAGGTGTCTCCCTCTATCATCTGTCACTGTGTGTCTTGACACAGGATCTCACTGAACCACAAGCTCACTATTTTGACTAGGCTGGCTGACCAGGGAGCTATTGGGATCCACTGGTTTCCTCTTTCCCATGCTGGGGTTACAGGCATGTGCAGCCAAGCCCAGCTGTTTACGTGGGTGCTGGGGATTCAAACTCAGGTCCCCATGACTGCCGAGCAAGCCTTATACTTTGAGAGAAGGTCTCTTCCCTGAACCTGGAGCTGATGGGTGAAGCTGGCTGGTCAGCAAGCGCCAGGGATCTGCCAGTTTCCACCTCCCCAGTGTGTCAATTGCAGATGTGCACCACCACATCTGGCTTTTATGTGGTTCTGAGGACTCACCTTGGCCCCCAGGAAGCCCTCGGAGAAGAGCATGATCTCACAGATCTGCTGCAGGTCGGGTACAATGACGACCACAGGCCTGAACAGCGCCTTCACAGACTCGGGCAGCTCCGTGCGGCCCGCATAGCCGGGGTTCATGGTGATAAAGATGCCCATCCGAGAGTCAAGGGAGATCTCCTGCCCTTCAAACTGGGTGACAGGAGAGGAAAAGGGGGGTGATATAGCCACCAGTTCACCCAGGGAGAGGAAGCTGGGGGCACAGGGACATCCCCAAGGGGGATGGTGATGTGGGTAATATGGGCTCTTTGGATTGGCACAGAACCAAGACATCTCTGGGAAGCCAGGTGTGATGTCCGGTCAGGTGTGGTGTCTGGTGGTCAGGTGTGGTGTCCGGTCAGGTGTAGTGTCTGGTGGTCAGGTGTGGTGTCCAGTCAGGTGTGATGTCCAGTCAGGTGTGGTGTCTGGTCAGGTGTGGTATCCACTGGTCAGGTGTGATGTCCGGTCAGGTGTGGTGTCCGGTCAGGTGTGATGTCCGGTCAGGTGTAGTGTCTGGTGGTCAGGTGTGGTGTCCGGTCAGGTGTGGTGTCTGGTGGTCAGGTGTGGTGTCCAGTCAGGTGTGGTGTCCGGTCAGGTGTGGTGTCCGGTCAGGTGTGATGTCCAGTCAGGTGTGATGTCCGGTCAGGTGTGATGTCTGGTCAGGTGTGGTGTCCGGTCAGGTATGGTGTCCAGTCAGGTGTGATGTCTGGTCAGGTGTGGTCAAATGTGATATCTGGCCAGGTTTAATGTCTGTCCGGGCACAGTATCTGGTAAGGTGTGGAGTCTGGTGAAATGTCATGTCTAGCCAGCTTTGGTCAGGTTTGGTGTCTGGCCAGGTGTGGTAGACAATCCTCATTGTCAAGTACAGTGTCTTTGGAATCACTTAGGTATACCTCTGGGTGCTTCCGTGAGAATTAACAGATGGAGGGAGACCTACCCTGAATGTGAGGGGTACCACGAGGTAAGGTGTCTGGATAAAATTAAAGGTTGGGGGGGGGGGTCAATGAGAGAAAGCTAGGCCACACAGACCCCTCTCTCTGCTTTGGGGCCGCAGTGATGGGAGCTACCCTGCCCTGCTCTTCCCACCACGAGGGACCAAGTCTTCCGAAACCGACGATCCAAAACCACTGCTCCCCTTATACTGTCGAGGGTCCGGTCACAGCGGCACAAGCGTAACTAACACAGCGGGTCTGAAAACGGCCCCCACCCAAGATGCCTCGGGCGTGGCAGCTAGTGTCCATCCTGGGACGGGATGCGGGTGCCTCCCCGCCTCCCCTAACCTGGAACGTGGTCAGCTGGTGGATCAGCGCGTTCCGGATGGTCTGGATCTGAGACGAGATGACAGAGAGCACGGAGGCGTCGATCCGGTTGAACTCATCGAAGCAGCCCCAGGCGCCGCACTGGGCAAGGCCAGAGAAGATCTTCCCGACAGCCTAAGGATGCCGTCAGAACCGTCAGGGCCCGTTCCCCCCGGAAATGGGGGGCTAGTCCCTTCTAAATCAAACAACTTGCTGAGCGGCTGGGTGGAGGGCGGGCCAGGCACAGCACTCACAGAATTTTCTGGCAATATTCCGAGGCCCTTGGTAGGCCAGCTCCCACTCGGGGCTGGACAATCAAGATTGTGTGTTTGCCCCCATGGTACTGGACTAGGTAGGCCCTCTGGATAAGCGAGACAGTTGTTCAGCTTGAACTGTATAGGGGGTCCCCAGGCAGTGGGACCGGGACCTGTCCTTAGTGCATGAGCTGGCTTTTTAGAGCCTGGTGCCTATGGTGAGACGCTTTGTGCAGCCTTGGTGCAGGGAGGAGGGGCCTGGACCTGCCTCAACTGAATGTACCAGGCTCTGCTGACTCCCCATGGGAGACCTTGCCTTGGAGAAGGTAGGAATAGAGAGTGGATTGGGGAGGAAGGCTAGGGGG